ATCTTTCTGAATATAAAAATCTCTGACAGAAAGTATTTATTGGCATGCATCTACAGACCAGGCCGAGCAAACATGGAGGAAAATTCACAATTTATATCTACAATCCAAAGAATATTTCAAGAAATATCTGACGTGCTTGTTTGTGGAGACTTTAACTACCCCGAAATATGTTGGAAATCTCTTAAACTCACAAAACCATGTCAAAAATCAAATGAGTTTTCAACAAATTATAAGTAGTGGAATTGTGTGTTGACAAATAGTCACCTTCAACACAAAATATAGAAACAACCACAGCTCTTTACTGGGTATCTTTTTAACAAGTGACAAAAAAAATGATAGCACAAATAGAATCCAGGCCACCAATAGATAAGAGCTATGGCCCAAATAACGCTTAACATAAATTAAATAAGAAAAATGAAAGAACGCAAGTTCAAGATTGAAAACTATGACGCCATAAACGAATATATAGGGCAACTATCAACATTAACAGACAAAAATCCAACAATCAAAGAATACCAACTCTTGAAAATTGAAAATATTGACATTGGAAGAACTATTTTGAAAGCTGATTTGATTACAGAAATCTTCATTATAAATAGTTCGGATCGCATCCACCGCGCCGTGACGGCGCACTGTTCCCCAAAATTTTATTAGGCAGTTTGCCTTCTATCCGGATATGTATTCTGTGTTCTGACCAGAGAAAACCTTGCAAACATGCCAACACTAACTATGGAGACTATGAACAATAATCAACTCACTGACATTAACATAACAACAGAAAAAGTTACTACAGCTCTAATGGCCGTTTCCACCAACGATTTTAGGTAAGCCATAACGATAAGTATTCCTTGAACTGACATTTCTCCATGGAAGACTGTCATTTTAGGGAATACTTAGGGAATACTTATTGTTAAGGCTCCCCTGAAATAGTTAGTGGAAACGGCCATAAGTAACCTATAGTAAAATTAATTAAACAGTGTATGCACGTAATCAAAATTAATGACATAAGCACGTCGCAATGTTGCCGCTATTAACTTTTTACTTTGACATACCATGTCTAGTAAAATTTGTTATCACTAAAGTAAACAAACATCGATTTTTATATGTATAGATAGTGTATTATGAACACAACCTAAAAAAACTTCTCACTTTTCGTCGTAAATTTGATTGCGAATAGAGCTAACATCAAGGTGATCTTGATTCGCAACCCGTTTCTTATGTGGACGTTTTTTCTTTGGTGAATTTAACGCTAAATTATCCCTGACTTTTTGAGAGATTTTACATTGGATTTTACTCACAGTGGTTATACCAATATTCAGTGCAGCTGCAACACGCTTGAAAAATATTCCCAATTGAAGCCCCAGAAGATTTATATTTGATAGTATCAATATACTTCACCTCTCTAACGCTATTTAATGGCAAAAAGGGGCCCCCATTATCTCGTTCCTGTTCAAAGAAACTAATTAGAGACACAACGAGTTTCTGACGGATATAGAATGGTAACTCCCATGTTAAAAAAAAAGTTCATATATGTGGCGCCTCTATAGGCTTGGGTCAAAGTAAAATGATTTTGGCGGGATATTTGAATTTGAAACTTTCTTTGTGGATGATCTTTTTGGGCCTTGATTAGATTCAACATTGGTTATTATATTTATCCCTCCTTATTAGAAATAAATATAATATGTAATAACCAAGACCGATCAAGTCAACTCCAAAAACGTTTTTTGGATAAGATAGGAAAATAAAACTCGTGTCTGTCAATCGTTGGACTTGTAATATTTTATATTTAGCTACATATTTAAATATTAATTCTTTTTCTGTTTGTCTTCACATCAATTTCAATGGAATTGACGCCATGATAAAGATAAAACTCACCTGAACTAAAACTGGGTAGAAGTAAAAACACTACAACTAGGGCGAGTTCAGAAATGACACACCCAGTGTGAGTGTGACACCGGTGCGACGTCCTAGCTGTTCAAAAATGCTAGACAGTGCTATGGGCCCAATGGCCAATTGTCAACTCAGGCACACCCATAAAATCGCACTCCCACCCTGTGCGTTATTTCTGAACTCGGCCCTAATGAAAATGATTCAAAGTTTGACAAACTAAAAATTGTTTGACAACCGACCGATCCGTATGACAGCTGATAGCATCAACATCCAAAGGCGTTCACTAAAATTACAGTACTAAAATCGATTACCAGCGATGAACATGCGCGCCCCCTGAGCGGCTTGGCTTGGGGTACATTAAAAGTGGCTAGGATCGTTCAATACAAGAGCGCATACCATTTCTGACTCTGACTATTGAATGACTTTGGCATTTTATAGATACACAAATAGAAATAATTTCAAATTATTAAAATCAGTAACCACAGATTTGCAGCAATTAGGCAATTCAAACCACGTGACATTCAAGATGGCGTGGCGGCCACACATGGGCCAAAAAACACAAAAAAATATCTAGTTTCTGCCCGAATTAATAGTTTAGGTACCTAGTCAACAAATATTTTATTAAATAATGAAAATCAAAGTTGTAAGCAAAACTGTATGCAAAATAATTTAAAATACACATAAAAACATATTCAAAACAAACTTGTTTGGCCGCCACGTCACAGGAATTGCCCAATATTTGGCAACATAACCCATGAGTGCCAACCTAGATGTCATTTTATCGGCCGATTCGGTTAAATGGCAACAGTGTTCTGTCTTTTTTTAACTAAGATTAAATAAAAAGGAGAATGAGCTCTCAGCTTGAAACGAATCGACGTCATTGATCACGTGTATACACTATTTAAATAATTTCACTATAAAAGCTTATTCAAGACCAGGATCAGATGGGATACCATCGTATTTTCAAAGAAACGTGCTACATCTCTAGCACCACTATTAGCCCAATTATACCAAGATTCGATAGACAATGGAACCATACCAAAGATCTGGAAAAAAGCTATAGTGATACCGATTTACAATAGTGACAAAAACAATCCATCTAATTATAGACTCATCAGCCTGACCTGGACATTTTCCAAAGTACTCAAAAAAAAATTATTGTAAAAGAAACAACATCCTTCTTCTTAGAAAATGACATCATACCTCCTACACAGCATGGCTTTATACCAAAAAGGTCTACTACAACCCAATCAATACAGACTCTGTTACAAACTAAGCCATTATGGAATAAGAGGCAAGTACCTGCAATGGAGCAGCTCCTTTCTTAAGCAAAGAACTTTTTATGTTTGAGCAAATGTAACCTGCTCTGATTGGTACCCAGTCGTCAGCAGAGTACCACAAGGGTATATGCTTGCCTCTCCATTTTTTAAAGTGTACATTCCTGGTCTTTCAAAAATTATACAAAATACTGTAGAGAAATGGACTATCACATGGCAACTAAAACTGAATGAAAAAAAAGTGTAGGTACAGTTTTACACATAGAACGAAATAACCCTAGACCTAACTTAACTACCAGATAAACAGCGTCGAACTCAAAAAAGTCTCAGAGCAAAAAGACTTGGGAGTCTATGTCAACGATGATCTCAAATGGGAAACCCATATATCGCACACAGTAAAAAAGGCCAATCAACTAATACACCTTATGATTTATGAGACAAGCATTTGAAGATCAAACTGTGAGAATAATAATAAAACTGCACAAAACTTATATTGGACCAAAACTAGAATATTGCCACACAGTTTGGTCTCCTTACTACATCAAATACATGGATCTTCTAGAAACTGTTCAGAGAAATAACCGATATTCCAACAACATAACTAAGAAAAATGGCATACGAAACAAGACTAAAAAAATTTCAGTTGGTAACACTTAAGGAAAGAGAAGACCTTATTGAAACATACAAAATTCTAAATGGCTATTACTCTACAGTCCTTAAACTAGAAGATATGTTTCAAAAAAATCAAAACATAAACCTTAGAGGACAACACCAAACACTTAATAAGGAGAGAAACCTTCTTCTTGCAAGAAAAAACTTCTTGACTAATCGTGTAGTCTACAAATGGAATTCCTAAACCCAGAAACAATAAATGCACTAAACAAACGCATTTCTAAAAATAGACTAGACAAGACTAGAGTTGCCAACCATCTTCCAGCCAGGAGGACAGTCCTATGAATGAATTTGACTCCTGAAAATCTTTAGGGTGCTAATTATTATATTATATTAGTGCTAACTATTTACATTGTTCAGTTGCTCAATAATGGAAGGAGATTTAGGCATATGGCGAACTTCTTAAATTGGGGGTTTATTCTCCCATATATCAGTGAAATCAATTTCATCCACTCCTAATTAACTAACATTATCTCTTAATAGAAATGAAAAAATACCAATTAGATAAATCAGTGACAAAGCAAATTAGTAGTGGACTATGATCAATATCAAATGCCCTTAGCTAAAGGGTTTGAAAAAGTCTAAAATTAGTTTTTGACCAAATGCCGTCTTAAAGGACCCTCACTCAAGAAGCAGCAGCACTCAACTAAAGAAAAATTAGTTCTAGTCAGATAAATAGGCTACCATACTTGGCCATCACCTAATATTCTTGAGATTATGATTTTTTAAATATTTTTAAATCTATAACTTTTTTGGTGTGACTACTTTAGAGTAAAGTCTAATTTCCATATTTCAGATTTGAAACTTTTTTAGATTGTAGATGTAAAGCCGAGTGTAAAGCCATAGCCTCGACCATAGCATACTGAAGTACACTTTATTTTTTCCCAAGATAGATTTTGACATCGAAAACTTTGAAACATAAACAATAACGCTTGACCCTGATTGGTGGCAAAATGAGGTGTTTTTGCAGGTTGACATCAGTTTTACAATAGCGACCAATAAGCGGCATTAGCTGCATTGTTTATGTTTCAAAATTGACAATGCCAAAATCTATCTTGGAAAAAAATAAACTGTAGTAGTTAAATTTTTGTGAAACACAGTGCACAAACTCAATAATAAATAATATGGCAACTAATACTCTAGTACAACAAATAAACTTACCTGTGTCAAAACGCCAGGTTGCCAAATAAATTCTCCAGGAGTATCTGTACACCGATAAGTCCCCAACAACATTTTACTATCAGTCTGGTCGCCAAGTTGCACTTTAACAAATGTATCTCCTAGCTTTCTTCCAGTGCACCCAGCCAAGTGCTCAACTAATCCAGTTTTGCCAGCACCTACAGGCCCTTGAAGACACATCGGTTTAGCCGAAGATAATCCAATAGCAATTTTTCTTAGATTATTATAAGTAGATGGAACCGGAACAAGTAGCGATTTTTTGGGGTTGTTTAGGGCTGGAATGTAAACACCTGAAATGCTAACAACTTCGGCCAAGTCTTTAGTTTTTGTTGGAGCAAAAATTTGTTGGTTCAAGGATGATGATTCTTGGGATTGGCCAATAAAACCTGAATTTTTATTGAAATCAATGGTTAGTTTTATTTTTATCTCTTCAGGTATTTTTTGAGCGATTAAGGCATTCAATTCGGTTTCGTTCCGGCCCAAAATGATCCCCATAATTTGACAGTAGAGCCTAAAAATAAACAATAAGATAATTTGAAAACATGTAGGTACCTCTATTTATATTAAAATTACTAACCAAGCGACTTCATAATCATCATTTGAAGCATACTTCTTCATGAACACGCTCCATTTCCAATTATTCCAATAGAACTTTGGATCACTTCTGAGTAGAAAGTAGCAGGCCTGGACTATATCCACATCTCGTGAGAAAATGTTTTCCAATGGTCTGCTTCTTTTTGCTTTTATTGGAGAATTTATGTCCACCTCAAAGGGTGAGGGGTATTGTTCAAAATACTTCAGTGCAAAGCTATATGAAAAAAAATATATAAGTACAGATTGTTAATAGGTAGGTGAGTTATTGGAAGAAATTCTTATGAAATTGTTTAATTTATTTATTCCAGAATACCCAAAATATATGGTAGGTAAAAAATTTAAAATGGGTTTTTAGTTTTTTCAATTATTAATTTATTTCATGTTTTTACTAGATAGGGTAAGTATGAATGAGTTGTCTGACATGATAATTCACCCCTTCCTTCACACCCTACTGAGAAACCCTTTTGAAAATCTAAAATGAAAGGTTTCTTTTATAGAAAAAGAGGAAAGTAACAATACCTTATTGAATAACCCAATTAAATAAGAATTTTTTTTTTAATGGAATTCTTTTGTGAAATAAACTTGCTTGGGGTGATCACAGGGGTGGTCATAAGTGAACTCAATTTTTAAAGAAACTTACATGAGTATATAATGAGCCAAGGAAGAATACTCACTAATTACCATACCTATAAGCTGTTGTGCTATAAGTTCCTCTCGTACTGAGCAGGATTACTATCGACTAGTTATCAGTAGGGTAAAACTAACCTGTCTCACGACGGTCTAAACCCAGCTCATGTTCGCTTATTAATGGGCGAACAAGCCGCACTCTATTGGTTTTTCAGTTTTTGGTGGAAAAAAAAAGGTATCGAATGACAAAACAGATATTTTGAAAATGTTCAATTAAATTGATGTAAGTGAAGGATTCTTGATGTTATTCGTGCCCTAGATGATTGATTTACATTGATAGATTTACATACATATTTTGATTTTTTTACCTTTTTAAATCTGGTCTCTCCTTAACAATTTGTGATAGCAAAATGCAATTTGAAAGATGCCTTTGTTGACTAAAAGGAAAATCCTCGGTGAAGAAAACAGCCTGAAAAACCAGCTTTGAAAGCTCCTTTGGGAAGGTTTGAAGAACCGAAGAAAACCATTGTGGCACAATAATAATTTCTTTCGCAATGTAATCTAATAGACTGGTAACTTGTTCAGATTTACTTGAGGGCTGTTTTGACTGGGATTTCTAGAAATAATAGGCAAATAATCAATTGAAAATAAATAAACTAAAAAAAAAACATGCACATTTACCTTGAAAATAACTGCGAATTGTTTATTGATTTTACTAAACTCTTTTAGTTTATGATAGAGATCTTCAATCTCTTCCATTTTAAACACAAAAAGTATTCAAACACTGCTTACGAATTTACTCAAAATTATTAACACAGAGTGAAAAAATACAAGAGCTGCTTAAAAACTTAACCTCACAAACGCATGCCCATGCTGGATCAAAATTTAAAATTGACAACTGTCAAGTTCACGTGCGGTGCGGTGCGGTGCGGCTGTGACACATAACTGCGTTCGATAACTTGTGCTCCACGGCAGCCACGAGTCCGTACAAAACTGATTGCACTCGGGGCAATAAATGCCGCACCAGGGGCCGGATTACGAACTCTCGATTCGAACCGAAACCGCCATGGATTTCGAACGCATTCTGATGCATTCGCATGGAGTGCGTTCGAAATCCATGGCGATTTCGGTTCGAATCGAGAGTTCGTAATCCGCTCCCAGGTTTAACATGAAATTCAAAAACTAGCACTTGAATTTTGCACTCGTGTCGCATTTTGGCCAATGGAATTTGCCCGGTATTTAGAACGATATCAGTGATTAGAACTTACAATAAAATAGTAGCAGGTATATATTATTAATATGGATTAAAAATGTATCATTTTTTGAAAATGAGCTTCTAGTCCGCATGCTAATTTTGGAAATGTATAAGAGGCAAAGTGAAAAAGTACTCAAATGTTTTTAAATAATCTTTATTGAATTTTGATAGAAGGAGGTATCAAACAAAAACCATAAAAGGGTTGTTGGTTTGTGTTGTTCGGGGCAGCCTTGGGGCAGCACTTCCTGCTTTGTGGCATTCATTTGTCAGCATTTTATATGGTTTATCTGCCATAATCTGAAATATTACACCTTAGTTCAAGTAAGTGCGACACAAGCTTTGTTTTGGTTTCACTCAGAACTAGTTCGGAATCATTCTGCACATGCGCATATTATAGCTGGGTTCGGCTATTCAGCGCGGAGTTGGAGTGGAGTGAAAAGAGCTAATGGAGTCACCCCTAATACGAGCCGCTTTCCAGTATGCACATTGGCGCTTTAGAGCACCTCGGGGGCGCCTCGCACTAGATTTGTACCGTTTCAGTATCATGGCGTGAGACGCCTGTCTTAGTGTCAAATATGTCAAATTTTAAAAATAATTATCTGTTTGTTTGTGCAGTTTGTTTTTCTATTTATCAAAAATGAAAGAGAATCAAAACTATATATTTTAAAATGTTCAATCTTGAGGTATAACAAGAAATAAATAGATAAATAGCAACCCACGATTGTGACAGCTGATAGGTTGACGCGTTCGTACAGCTCGGGGGCTCAACGCCCCGAGTAGCTCCGGGCGTCACACTCCCATACTGGAAAGCGGCTACGGTAAAAAGCAATACCCAAACCTTAACCCGAACGGCTGGAGTGCAAAAGGAGTCACTCGGAGTGCACGGAGTGAGCAAGCCGAACCCACCTTATAAAACGCGTTGCCTGCCGTTTTGGCAGTGGATAGAGGTCCGAAAATTCGGATCTCTAGTGTTCATACTAAAGATCGGATCATTTTCGGATTTTCAATTTGTATGGATATTAGGGGTCCGAAAATGCGGATCTTTAGTGGTAATAGGTATTGAAGATCCGAAAATAGATGTTTATTTCTAATTCTGTCTAATTAAGGAATATTATCGTCGCAAGTATCTACAAAGAATAATATTCGAGATAAGTTTGTTTCTGCAGAAATCACAAACCAGTCAGAGTGAATTTCATTGGTTGAAACTAGTTTTCTGACTGTTTTTGACTGTTTTCAACCAATGAAATTTGCTCTGACTGGTTTGTGATTTCTGCAGAAACAGACTTATCTCGAATATTATTCCTTGTAGATATTTGCGACGCCATTTTAATGGAACTAGCCCAAGAACCAAATACTACTGCACAAAACCAATTAGAAGAAAAAATAAAGTGTTAAATTTCGTTTGAAACTTGCCCATAAAGGAAGACCCAAAGGACATCAATTAACTGCAATTGGACTAAAATGGTCTAAGAAAAATAAAAGTGTTTTATTCAAAAATGAAGTCCCTAAACTGACGCACCAGAATGCTTTATGCAATTTTAAATACAGATGATTTGGCAGGCAAAGCATTACATAAAAACATTAAAATTGAGAAAGAAAACATTCCTCATCATCAACAAAATTGATCCACTTCTTCTTGAAGAAGAAATATCTTTAGCAGAAATAGAATAAGCATATTTTTGTCCGCCGGATTCTTATGTCTGTTACAAAAATAAATTGAAGAAAAACAAAATAGTATTCTTATTCTGAAATGGATGTCTGATATATGTAACAAAGGCAGTGCAGAAGGAACTAAATCACACCTCTTACCCTATCAACCCTCAAAATGAAGAAATATTTATTTTTAATTATGTAGGTAATGTTTTTAAAAAATAAAAAGGTACTAAGTTTTATTTTTTGTACAGGGTATTTGATTATATTTGGCACCATACCTACAGCCTTTAATATTTAAGATAGAAGAAAATTGTAAATACAAAACTTGACAGTTTTTTTCTATATTTTCTCTTAACGTTATCAGAAAAAACAAAATCACATCGGAAAATAGAGAAACGTAGACAACTTCGACTTTTTTAAACGGAACACCCTGTATATTATGCGATAAAATGAAAGACCTTTTCTTCCTGATTACAAATATATATATATGTTGACTACATTTGCGTCAGCCATTTTTGACATATCTTAGCTTAAATTATAACTAAATTACAAAGAAATTTTATAAAGATAGAGATCCTTATGGAACTTCTCTGCAAATTCTTTATAATTTAACCTGAGATATGTCAAAAATGTTATCAATATATATATTGTACGCAATTGACGAAAACGGTCACTGCCCGAATTTTATACTTACAACGCGATGTGGATCTTTTGAATTTTCCACATCGCGTTACGGGTATATTTTATATACCCAAAACGCGTTGTGTGTAAAATTGAAAAATCCACGACGCGATATCACGATTATCGGCGGAGACACGCGACGAGTTTCGTGTTATGGGTAATAAAGAATACCCATAAGGCGAAAAATATGAGGTTCGTCCTAGGTAATGTAAAGAAATCATTCAAAAAATTGTAAAATAAAAATACTGACACGTTTTTAAAATTTATTCATGAAATAAACATTTTTTATTAAACTAATATTTATTATTTATTCTTGCATGTTAGTGAACCATGACATCTTGAGTTACACCTTTTGTTTCGTTGTTTGCAGGAACATTTTATCACCACAAAATCTTTACAATTGCATCTGAGAAAACCTTGACCGGAACCTTTCGATGACATATTTGCTACAGTTCGCAAGGGTATTTCTTTGATATTAGTATCATTTGATTGCGACATGAACTGTGAATCTGCTTGTAGAAGTTCATTTTTTGAAAATAATCTGTCCAGTGGCCCATTCTCAGTTCTCAGTTTATACAAGCCATCATTATTAATTTCAGAAACAATGGCTAACACATTTCTTGGAGTTAGTCGGCGTCTGTCAACATCTGGCACTCGAATCAAAACATTTGTTCCAATTTGTAAAGGAGCATATCTTTTATTTGACTCACACAGCATTTTAGTTGCTTGAATTGCTCTATTGATTCATCCATTTTTTATCGAAATTTCACTTAAAACTTTGAGAAAGGACAAATAAATAAACAAAACAAACACCTGCTGACTGTTGCTGCCGATTAAATGAAGTAAGTTTATGTATTTTCGGGTTGTGGGTATTTATAATTACCCATAACACGAAAACCGTCGCGTGTCTCCGCCGATAATCGTGATTTCGCGTCGTGGGTTTTTCGAATTTACACACAACGCGTTTTGGGTATATAAAATATACCCGTAACGCCATGTGGAAAATTTAAAAGATCCACATCGCGTTGTGAGTATAAAATTCGGGCAGTGACCGTTTTCGTCAATTGAGTACAACATATATATATATATATATATATATATATATATATATATATATATATATATATTTACAGAGTATCTTGACCGGAGAATTTATAAACAATGGGAGTTTCTTGGGGTATCGGTCGTCTTGAAGGGCTAGGAAATAAAAATCTCTTTTTCCACTAAGCCGAGCTTTCGGCAATTATTTATTGCCTTCGTCAGGGCTACAACAATATAAAAGATCTTATTATTATGAATAATCAAAACTATGACTAGGACATATAAATTTTTAACTATAACTTACTTGCAAAGTGAGAATTTTATAGTCGAAAAGCTTTCAAATTGTCGGAAAATTGTTGTTATTCTATTTTGACTATCAAACTGGACAGAATATAAATGTTAAAAATATGGAAAAATAATTAATAAACAATAATTGATAGATATAAGAAAAATAGAAGAGATAGAAGAATATGTAGAATAAAATTTTGAAGTGTATAAATACTAGTTTCTCATAGACATTGATTTTTGGTGTCATCACTAGACCAGTTAGGTAATTTTAGGAATAAATTTAATTAGATGTAAGTAGGTTCGAATAAATACTACTGAGATCTTGAATATCCTTTCTTTTATTTAGGCATAAAGGTTCTTGAGATATCTCTACCATTTCTAGAAACAAACGTTTATTTAAATTTTGTTCATGAATAATCACTTGTGAATTTCCAAAATCAAAATCGTGTCCTTCTTTAGTAGAATGTTCTGAAAGAGCACAAGAAAGAATAGTTCTTCTACAATCACTTTTATGTCGTGTTATCCTATCTTTTAATACAGTTGATGTTTGACCGATATAAACTTGATTACATTGTTCGCAAGGAATTTTATAGATTACTGAAGATTGTTTTAAAGTTTCATCTTTGTCTTTGACTTTAGAGTATAAATTGCCTATTTTATTGATATGTTTGTGTGCAATTTTTATGTCTGGTATAATTTCTAATATTTTGATTACTTTTTGTGAGACACTTTTAATATATGGTAATGCAAAATAATATATTTTATTTTGTATCTGAGGATCATTATTATTTATTATAATATTATTATTTTGTTGGTTATTCCCCATAGAATTATTTGTAATAAGTGACGTATTGTATAAATATTTTTTGAGAAAAGCATCTGGATAAGAGTTATCTTTCATTATATTATAAAGTTTTTTTATGTTATTTTCTCTAAATTCAGGGTGGGAAATTCTCTCAATTCTTCGGCGTA